CTTTTTCCCAGGGGGCTATGGGAAAACGCAGCAGTTACCTTTCAACTTCCCAGCTTGCCCCAGAAACACCAGGCACCAACCTCTGTCCCCTAGTCCCTTCTTTTGCTCTTTGTACTCCAATACCCTTAAAAGAGACCCACTCAAATTCCTAACGTAGGATTTAGGGATATAAGCAAAAGGAAAAAAACAAGGCAAGACGTGTCTCCCATAACTAGGTACTCATCCATTTGGTGATAATATTAAGCTTTCTGGAAACTGTTTTTCAGTTATATTTAACCTACAGTCTTTATATAATAAAAATATAGTTTTTATAGGCAGTAACTCAAAATATACCACTGCAAAAATACGGGTATTCTAAAGGCAAAATTCAGTACAAAATAATTGTTTGCTAATCTATAAAACCTTGAAAGACAACTGTGCCTCAAATATCTGATAAGACTTTGATAAAAACAGCTCATCCCAGGGCCTTGGCTACACTGCTATTAACCTTTTGGTGGCGGAATGCAGAAGACAGGCCTGGAGAATGAGCTCAGGCTTAGAAAACTCCCAGACTTCCCTAGAAGATCCACATGGGAGGAGCAGGCTGGATGCGTCTCTGGACGCCCAGGGTAGGGGCAGCTGTCCATGAAGCGTTTCCATAAGAACTGAACAAACAGAGCACGGTGGCTTGTCACACGAGGGCGGGGGCAACTTCCCTGACCGTGGTGAGTGCTACGAGCTGGTCAGTTCCAGGCCCCACAGTGTCCGAAGACATTTTAGCAGGTGGCCGGCTTCACCCTTGCCAGGCCTACTGGTGTAAGACAGTCGTTTTGCTCCTTGACCCCACCTTTTGGGTTTCCTCTGAAGACAACAGTGTGCTGTGGGTGAGTTTCAGGGGTTTTTGAAACTACTTGAAATGTTACACCTGTTTGATCATACGTGCACTTTCCTGGGACAAGGGGCCTCCAAGGAGGATCCTGACCCACACAAAGTGCAGAAGCTCAGTTCCACCCAGAGCTTTTAGACTCAGTGTGAAACACTAGATGACACTGCAGGTTTACCTGAAACTCTTGCTCCAGTTTCTTCTCTATCCAGTCTGTCACATGAACTAAAGTCACTTCTCTCTCTCCAAGTTTTGGCCGCGCTTTCAGCTCTACATATGGTGGCTTCCGGAAACCATACCTTTTTAAAGAAGACAAGTAATAATCACATTTAGAAGCAAAGGAAGGAAGTAGACAAGTACCAACAGCCAACATTCCTTCTACACAGGCCTACATCACTACTTAAATGTTCTCTTATTCTGAAAATCCCCTCTACAAAATAATACAGCACAGCAAGAACACATGTGAACTCCCTGTGTCCCTGGGCTGTGCAGGCTGTGATGATCTGAGCACAGTTCTGACAAACTGGGAAAGCCAGGAAGTGCCACTGGAAAAGTCTGTGTGGCCTGGGCTTTGTTTTTCATAAAATGGCAACAACCTTTTTTGTTTCTATTTTTATAGTAGTATATACGTTACAAAACCCAAAACGTGCAAGTGTATGAAGCTGGATGTGAAAGACACTGCAGCCTCTCTGAATCTCACCCCTAAAAAAGTGACCAGTGAGAGAAGTGGGGTCCACTTTCCCCATCCTCCTAATATGCATATGTAAACAGAACATTCTATAACCTGCTTTTCATCCCACACTCCACGCCACGATTATTATGGCTTCTTGATGGAGCAGACTGGCACGGATGCTAAAGTATCCAGACAAGAGACTGTGCTATCCACTTCAACCTGTCCTGGACCAGTGTTTTAAAAAACACACTAAAAATGTCAAATAGCTATAAACGTTTCTACATACTCAATATCTAAACTTATCTCTGTGGATCGATAACAAATAGTTCAGCATTCATGCATGCGTTGGGTAGCATGATGCAAGAGGCCTTTCATTTTACCTCTCACTGAGCAGTGGCATTTATAACTGATAAAGCTTAAAGCTGAGAAGGAGAAGAAATGTATCAACTCTTAGCATTTAAAAACACATGAAATTAGGTTTGGAAGACTGTACAGATAGGTATCAACTGGTTATATTTGGATGATAAGATTATAGGCTTTTTTCCTCACTTTTTTCCAATGAAAATATTACTTTGAAAAAGTAAAATCTAAAATGGTATTTTCAAGTTTTTACTGGGAAACACCAATGTCATCATTAAATGGTTAGTCATTTCAAAAATCTTCAGATCATTCCTACAAACCCTTCTGAACACTAAGGATGGGGACTGCATGTTGATGCCCCTCTCTGATAGTATAGAGCTACCTTTTTCATACGAGTGTTGTTTAAGGTACAATGAGGTCTCCTAGGTAACCCCCGTATACACTTATGAACATTTTACAGGACTTTGAATATCGGTTTTAAGTTGAGATTCACAGTGATTTTTTTCCTGCTGGACCCATTAGTAATTTATTTCCATGATTCTCGTTCCTGGCTTAGTCCCCCAACTCCTGAATCCTGGGGGCGGGGCTGGGCATAGCTTTATTTTTAACAAGTCCTCAAGTAACTGTGACACGCAGGTGAGATTGAGAACCACGGGTGCATTCAATAACAATGCCTTGAACAGACTGACCACAGTTACCAAATGCGCATGCTCTCGCCTCCTGAACATCCAGGCCTGACCCAGGGAAGGCTTCCCTAACCTCCTGGGACTGCTGGATGTGTGACCCCTGCCTGTAAAGTGGGGATAACAATGGCATCTTTCTCCACAGGATGCTGTGAGGACCAACCAGGCGAAGCAGGTACACCCTAGGCCGGGCAGAGACTAAGAGCTCTACAAATGACAGCTGTTTTCACTGGTGTGAAGAGTTGGCTCTAGAGAGGAGACGGATCAATAGGAAACAGCTCAACCCATAAACTTCACCTACTGACTTAAATTCTTCCTAACATGTGAAGATGAATCTTTATATGTGAATTAACCACTCAGAGAAGAAAGGAGAATTGGATTTACAACTAACATTAAGGTTCCACTGAAAACGTCTGAAAGTGCTTCTGCCCAAGAGAAGGTACTTTCCATAAAGTCAAGGGTAAGCAGGCTGGGACTTTTACGGCCACGCAACAAGGGGAATCACTTGCTGTCCCTGAGGGCCCCTCTACGCACCATATCCGGTCAGTTGGGGGAGGTGGAATGTTGACCGCCAAAGTTCCTCGACATTCTTGTACTTCTACGGTTAGCAGCAGGGGTGTATTGGAGACTTCTTCAATCTTCTTTTTAATGAACTCTGTCTCCGTTGCTTTTTGGAAATATTTTGACTTGGTAATCTTATCAACAAACCTCATAATCTTACTTGTTCGATGACCGCCAACATACCTTTAAATGAAGGACACAAGCGAACGTTAGTATGAGCTTTGCTCCTTCACAAACAAAAACTTTGTGGCTCTCTACTCACTTTAGACCAGAGTTTCCCAGCTGCAGCACCACGGACATTTTGGACTGGGTCATTCTGTTGTGGTGCTGTCCTGTGCATCACAGGGTGTTGAGCAGTGTTCCTGGCCTCTAGCCTCTACCTACTATGTCATTAGCACACTCCTCCCAGTCATGACAATAAAAAATGTCCCCAAGCGGGGGGCGGGCAAAATAATCCCTAATTGAAAACTACTTTACATAAAGTGTAAACATCACACAGAGCTGAATCTTTACAATGGAGAGTCAGACAAAGTTCTTATAGGGCAAAATGAGAAGGCAACTCATGTTTATAACCCTCAAACTGCTGAATACAAATCCAGTGTCCTCTTAGAGAAATCTCACCATCCCTAGATGGCAATAAGAAATCATATCGCATCGACAGGGACACAAAACACAGTTTTTAACTGACTGCCTTTTAGGTGGCATCATACCAACTTTGAATGACAACTACTTTTTAAAGGGCTTAGGAAGTTCTAAAAAAAAAATGCTACATCAAGCTGACATGCTAGCAAGTGAAGAAAGCAAGCTTTTCTATCAGGTCATGTCTGCCATAAGAGAGGATATTTGCTTTTTAAAATCCTCCACAGTTCCAGATATCGAGAACACTGTGTGTATGTGTGCAGGGAAAGGCAATCGTTCCCAAGAAGGTCAAGTGCATAGATTTAACGCACACGAACTTTAGAACTAACTCCTCAAATGTCTGGATTCTCTTTTCACGTCCTGGGATTTCAAAAATGAATAGGCTGATGTTTTCTTACAGATGCTTCTGGCTTCTTTACAATCTTAGTTTCTTCAACTCACTAAATAATTTAAAGATCTGTACAGAGAAACTGTTTAAGCACTTTGATCATTCCACAGTCCAAGTAAAGGCAAAGAGGGGTCCCAGAAATGAAGTTCTTGGTCCAAAAGATCAGCTAAGTGATCCACGTTTTCAAAACTCACCAAAGAAATCACCTGAATGTGTCAGCTTTGTAGGAACTAGCAGCTCAACAGAAGTGTGACCCAACTAAATGAGGAGTAATGCTCTCCACAGAGCACCAGGGGGTGGTGTTGTATCATTTGTGCTCCTTGTGATAAGACACACCCTTCAATTCTATTATTTACTCCAACTATCAGAGAAAGCCATATTGGTTGGGACCCTCTTAAGTAAGGAAAGCTGTATGGGTCTTTGTGCTTTGGGATCTGGAATTTAAACAAGCCACTGACTATGGGTTATTAATGCAAAACCATCATTCAGTGTGAAGGAGGAAGGAAGGTCATAGAGGAAGAGGGGGAAAAAAGCTCACTCCCAACTTGCTGCTTTGACCCTTGGAGACCTCAGAAGCTGGATCCACTCACCCTTCGGCCCCTGGGAGAAGCAGTTTGTCTCCCGCGCTGGGCTCTGGAGCATCGTCTTCATCGGAGGAGCCAGCACTGGAGGACTCCTCATCGCTGTCGGCCAGGCAGTATGCCCTGGGCCTGCAACTGAACAGGGCACAGTCACCACCGCAGCCTGCCCATCACCCAAGCTCTGCTTAGAAAGAGAAAACACGCTCCACTGCCACCACCACTGCACATCATCATTCTCCCCAGCCCATCCGAAAAAGAAGAGACCCAACCCAAGAGTCTGCAGACTGGCCTGGTTACCCAGGAGACGCTTCAGCACTAAGTCCCCTGGGAGGATCACGGAGGACTTGGGCTTGTAGAGTGCAATTCTGCGCATGCATCACGACAGGTGGTGGGAGTTTGGTGCAGCTGACACGAAACACAGTAAGTTCATCAACAGTGCAGCAACAGCCAAGTGGGAGGGTGAATGGACAGAACGATGGTTGCAAGGGTGGGGTGAAGCTTGTGCCGGAGACAGGACCACCTCTCACTGATGACGGGGATGTTCCGGCAAGTCCCCCGACTGTCTGAGTTCAACAACTATGATGCTCTTTGACCCAGTAAACTCCAAATTAGTTTTGATTCAAGACTCCTTCCTAGTGCAATTACGTATCTTAACCCACACCTGGCCCAGCTCCTGAAGGTCACAGAAAAAGCCAGCTACCACAGGGTACAAATCTCAAGGAACTCTAGGAAGCAACTAACATGGGAACCCAGAAGCTGTCCTGGAGAAGTACACTTTTAAAAACCATTTTAAAAACAAGGTACTAGAAGCCTCATTGGGGAGCAATATCCCTCATTAATCTTTCCAGGTTGGAGACTGTCTCCACAGGCATGGGGGTCGCTGGGGGCTTCCTGGCTGAGCTTCAGCCCCACGGAAGGAGCACCCTCCTTGGATGGTGGCTGTGTTTCAGGGAGGCAGACAGGCAGGGCCCACCCATGTCTGGGGCTCAGAGACTTAACTGGGACAAAATGAACACAGGATAGAGTAGTCTCTGAACACTATTATGCAATTAAATGGTCACAAAGCAGACAGAGGCTGGGCCTTGTGTTTTTGATAAGGATAAAATCACCAGGACAGGGAAAGGCAGGGGAGTCGAGGCCCTATCTCCCTGCAGCTCTAATCCTTTGGGGCTTGCCTCTGATGCTGACCTTGGGCCACCAGAAGAAGCCTATTGGGGCAGTCACTTCCCAGCGAATGAGAGCCAAGGACACTCAAGGGCAGAGCACAACGCCCAGTGTGGACTGAGGCCCAGAAGAGGCCCCAGCACTGGGAGGGCAGGACTGAAATCTCCGCCCCTGAAACGGGAGCCTGGCTGTAAGAGGACCCTGCGAGTGTCCGCCCTGGCAGGACACCCGGGTCCTCAACCCCAGCTCTGAAACATTAGAGCCAGCGCTTCAGCCAGCGGGCTTGAGTGTGTTAAAGGGCGACTCCCTCTGCAGACACGGCCTCTGGTCCCCGACCACAGAAACGGCAACGGCATCTGACTTGTCTGTCCTGCTTCCCTCAGAGGCCTGGCTGGCCCCGGAAATGATGTGCGCTCACTGGCCACAAAGTGACTTTGGAGCTTTCTATGCTTAGGCAGCTCTCATTAGAGCTCCTTTTAGTTAAAATGTACACACCAAAATATGACTTCCAAGAAAGCCTCAACTGTATCGAGATGAGGAAAGTCAGGGACACAAATCCCCAAAGATAACACAGCCATCTCAGAAACGTGTCTTACTTCTCCACCAGTAAAATGACTGCTCCCTGGGCTCAGACCTCGAGCTGCCAAGTAAGGAATCTGTGTCCTGCTCCCCATCCGCCCAGCACGAAAGCTGCCTCGAGACCTGGGACCACAGTGAAACCTGCTGAGCCACTGGCTCCTCTGGTCCCCACCAGTATTTGTCATCTGGCAGCCTCCAGACCCTGGGCAGAAGATGCCAAAGGCCGAGCACTGCAGTGAGTCTCAGGTTCCTGAATTAATCCTCTGCAGGACAGATTCTGTGGCTTGAAGTTAATAAGTTAGACGATGCTATATCAGTTAAAGTAGATCAGATGACGTGAAATTCTGATTTTGACCAAATGTTACCTCTAATCTCTGCAGGGGGAGCTATATTATGTGGCACCCAATACTAATTAAATATGCAACTTATTGTTTGGCTGATAGTTTTATAACTGAACATGTATTTTATGAGCTCAACCTTATGATGTCATCATGAACTTTGAGGAAAGACACACCACACGTCCTTATGTAAGATGTGCCTTAGATGAAGGCGATATCCTTTCAAAGAGCCACCTTAAAAGGATTATTCCAGTTTTGCTGCCTCTGCTAAAAATCTTTCTGGAAATGTGCCTGGAGTCAGACACATAAGAAAAACAGAATTATTTTATCACTGATACTCTGTCTCAGACCAAACATTTTATTTCTTGGTCTCATAATCACCACTGCCTCTGAACGACTCTTTGCAGTTTCTCAAAGATCCAATTCATCTACAAAGCAGGATGATTTGCGGCCACTCAGGACAGTTAAAAGAATGTCACAGAGTCCAGAGGCAATTCTAAAAGAGCAGCTCCAAAAAAATGCTTTAAATGAAGGACACATAATTAGATAAAGCAGCCCAGTGTGGTGACTGCTTTGTAGGTGACCACACTCATAAGCATATATTCATTTTCTTCTATGTAAGAGAAATCCGCCCCAGGCAGCTGCCACAGACAGACACACGCGTGTGTTCATTTAGAGAGCCAGACCCACTCACGGGGTGGGCTGCAAGGACTCGGGTCCCAAAGCATCAGGGGCCTCAGGGTGGGGTGGTGGTGGTTTGGGGCATACTGTGGACTAGTGACCCAACACTAGTGACCGGCACAGGGCCTCTTATACAGGGACTTGCATGCCAAGCCCGGGCTGCAAGGGCAGAGTATGAAGAGGCCAAGCGCCTTACTGGAAAGGCCCCACTCCAAGGCCACCTTTCCTTCAAACAGCAGCCAACACAGGGAACGCCCTGCCGGCCTCGCTGCCCCTCCTCAGGCCATCGGAGAGTTGAGGCTGCTCAGCTCACTACCAGATTCCACTGAGTATCTTACTCCCCAGAGTTACATCAACTACTTATGTAATAGGAAGACTATCTGGGGAATAAAAAAACGAAAGGAAAAATGTCTGCAAACATAAAGTCTACACACTTTTCAAAAGGAAAAGGATTTCACTAGAATAAAGGAACAGATTTCAGTTTCTCATGATCGCCCTCGGGGTAATAATATGGAGATATGAAGAAACTTCCTACCAGTAAGTAGGAGCATCATCTCCTGAGACTCCCTAAGGGCACGATCATTTGCACACTTGAAGGGGGACAGGAATAAGCAGGGAGGCAAAGCAGAGGCCTCACCAGGGCGGGACAGCAGGGGAACAAGCCCTGTGGAAGCAAGGCCCTGGACTGGTAGCCGTGGGCGACAGGGAGGGCCAGGAGGAAAAGGGCGGCTGCTGGCCATCTCTTTAGATGCTGTTGCTCTTAGGAGAGGTTTAATACTAAGGAAAATGTCCGCATCAAAGATTACATGCTTAATAACAGCTACTGTGCATAGTGACTATCTCTCGTGCACGTAGCCTCAGGATGATTCCACATGCTCAGGGCTGAGGAGGTGAAGAAGTAGATTCTAGAATCACTTCTGCAATTAGGGTCTTAGCTATGGATGGGCCTTCAGAGGCTCTCGATGCTCCCAGGAATTGTGAGCCAAATGGCACACGTGCAGGCCTTTTCTGGGAGAAGGATCCAGAGCCCTTAGATTCTCAAAGGGTTCCTTTATGCAAAAAAGGGTTAAAGACTCATTTTCCCAGGCCTTTTTCTACCAAGCAAAATGCTTTTAAAATGAAATGACAGCCAATTACACATCAACATATAATTTAACACCTTCATAGGAGGGAGCAAAATATTTTATACCAGACTCTACTGGGAAAAAATGGTACTTCGGAAATATATTACAAAGTAAATATAATACCATCATATTCCAAAAGCAGAGGACATTTTTAACGCAGTCTACAGAAGCACTGCTTACTCAGAAACATGTCCATCCTCTGAGCACCCAGAGTTTATAAACTTGAAATTGTGCCAAGAGAGCTGCGTAACAGTGAACATGAATGCCTAGGTGGTGAGAATCTCAGGGACAAGGCTGTGTTGGGGCCCCACATGCTGCCCAAGACCCCCTCTTTCCAGTGGAGTCCCTGCAGCTGGGCCAGCACAGGGCTGTCTTATAAGGGGCTCCTTGCACAAATGCTTCTAACGGGTGTGCTCTGTCATGCTCCTGTTTAGTAAGAGCTCATGTTCTAGACTGCTTCCGCCTGATGCGCTTCATGCTATTGGGCAGCTGGTTCTGCAAATCTGCGGTCATGAGCCTGGACTGATGATGCTCAGGTGTGCATGGCGACAGGTGGGGGCGTCCAAAAACAGAAGTTGAGTGTGACTACAGGCCAAGATCAGGACCCTGGCAATTCAAATCAGGGAAGTTTGTAGGACTCTCTCTGCCAGGAAAGCCTCTTAAATCCTCCTGATCTCCATCTTCTCGGGTCTACAAACTGAGCTCCTATGTCCAGGAACATAATGAAAGGACAAGCTTCCTAGGGGCGTCACATGGGACCAGACAAGACTCAGCAATGACAGGGCATGAAATGCTACGTGGAGACTTGATAAATACCACTCACCAGAAAACACAATCCACAGATTGCCGAATCCAAACACATATTAACAAATAACAGAAAAATAAAAGGAAAATAGCACAGATACAAGTTAGATTGTATACAGCACATGAAATTCTCCAATATTAAAAAAAGGAACATTTCATTAAGTAACCTGGATAAATGAGAATAATCTAAATAAAAAAACATTCTCAAATGTATGCCCCGACTCCCCCCATTCACTATCACTACAATATGAATAGAAGTAGCATGTCAGTATCATAACTAAGCAAAAATCTAAGTCTATATCTTTAATTTAGACCCTGAGAAGGTGGCTCCTTGTTGAGTTTTCCTGTCGTTGTACTGTTAATTCTATGCAAAGGGGCTAGAGATGTGAGAAGCAGAAACCAATTAGCATTGTTAGTTTGGTAAAAACAATTATATAATTTAAATTTGTAGTCAGAATCAGTCATTTTAAAAGTGCGTGGGAATGTAAAATTTCCAGCTTATCCATTCTAGGTATTCAATAGAAAAAAAATCGAGCTTCATTAATTAGTTCGCAAATTTGGAATATTTACTGAATCAGGCAAACTCTGGACAGTGGACACAGTATCTTCTACAAAGAGAGGCATTTACTAAGCAAATCAATATTGTATTATTTAGGGAAAATGAATCTCAAAACACTTCAGGAGCACCCTCTTGGCTACAAAATCAATCGCTACTTATAAATAATTCTGACTGATTAAAGCAGAGAGACCCCTTTGGGACCTTAGCCTTGCCCACACATGGCTGTTTGTGGCAGTAAGTGGGAGGTACTTTCTGAATGATGATTTTATTGTGTGGACGAGCCTGCTTTGCGGGTCTGAGTCAGTGAGGCTTTCTGGGTAATCAATACTATGTGCCCCACTGGCAGCACTGAGGCCAAAAGGCGCTGAGCATAGATGAGGACTCACAGTCTGCAGGGAATGAAACTAGGGGACCATTCCCTGAAACCCTCTGTGGTCCAGAAGCGCGTACAAGGAAGCTCACTCAAAATCCAAGACCATTACACATCCGATCTGCTTCTCCAAGGCCAGAGGGAGGGGTCGGTTCCCCAGGGTTGGATTAGTAAAGTCGTATAGCCCCTTACCCTTCTTTGCCAATTTCTCCAACCTTCAGGGCTTCAACAAGAGGCTCTTTACCTAGTTTGGTCAAATTCATTTTGGTCTCGAGAGTCATCAGAAAGGACCCATTGTAGGACATTTCCAAATCGATCCAGAGTCCTGGAGAAACGGTGAAAAAACAGAAGGGTTTCCCCCCCGCCCCAGAAAAACATGACTATAAATGATAGTATAAAAATTTATATTATAAAGTATCTAAGTAGGTATCACATTGAAAGTCTCTATATATGTCTTCCTATACTACTACCAAGGCATGTGAGAGGAGACTGAAATTGACAAGCTTCTGGAAATGGTTCAAACATTTGGCACATTGCCAGCATTTCAACAGCCATTAAAATGGTCACAGTGAGCTCAGTGCGCGTTAGCAGGGGAAGGGTCCCCATTCTCTGGTTCTTCTCACATTTAATAAGACGTGCATTCCCAGCAGGAGGAAGGCTTGAGCCAGGGCAAAGCCAGGACGAGGCCTGCTGTCATGAGGCAGAAAAGAAGTGCAGAGACTTCACAGCAAGCTGGGCTGCTCTTTAAAGTCATGTGAGAACTGCCATCTTTCTTAAAATTATCTAATGTTATGGGGGTGGGGGGCGCGGGATAGAAAATGGTTCGGAGTTAGCTTCGTGTGATAAGGTCAGTGACAACAACTTTTAGGAAGCTTTTCTTTCTGGTAATTGCCTTGTAATAGAAACAAAAGAATTAATACTCGAGCCCCAGGATTATCCAGAGAAAGTCGGGTAACCACCTTGTACCTTAGTTCAAAATCCTATTCCTTGGGAAGGACACCAGTGTCAATGGCATCATAACTAAGAGGCTTTTAACTTTGTAGAATGGCACTGGGACGGCCCATGGCAGAAGCGGCCCCTGACTGGAAGTCTAAACGCAAACAGGGACCGCCGCAGGACCTTCTGGACAAGGGGCCCGGGATTCGGCAGGTAGGAAAGGCCATGCTGATTTTCAGACTCAAAGCGCCATGAAACCTCATGGACTTTCAATCAAAATGTCATCATTCAAGTGAGTGTTCAAATGTAAATAAACTTTGAGAGTTCCTCATAAGACGAATGACAACGTTTAATGGAAGCAAGAAATTAAAACTATTGTTCACACACAGCAGCATTTTTAAGCAATTACAGTAAATAACCTATCCCCTATTTGGCCACCATCTTAGATAAAAGCTTTGCTAGTAACCTCAGGAAGCACTAATGGTATAATTCCTCACTAAAGGCAGAATAATTTCCAATTTGTTTTCAACAGATTCTTTTTAGCATAATCGAAGGTACTTGTTTTCCATAAATGATCTAGTTTAATTAAGTAATGTGCAGATCAACTGCGATTCTCTTCTTTGCAGCAATTCACAAAACTGCTTTATTTCTCGTTTACAGTAAGCAGTTAAAAATCATTAATCAGCTTGCTCTTCAAAGGTAGTGTTACTGGAAATAAAGGGCAGATGTTTTCATAAGTATCTTTAGTCATCAATCACTTCCAATAGAAGATTAGGGCAAACAGCTTGATATTAATAGATTTTTAACTCCATATAAAAAGAACATCAATAAAGAAAATATTTATTGTATATCTCCAGCTTTATTTCACTTGAGAATCAATAGACTCAAACCTCCTGATTGCTATATGTTTTCAGACATAACCATGCCTTTTGAAAATTCTAGTCAAGTTTCCAATAAATATTAATAGTATGTGTTGCCTTTGAAGGTTGTCATAGTAAAGGCACCAGAATTTTACTTCTTATAAAGCGGAAGGTTTTGTTTGTTTTTTAAATGAGGGGATATGGACTAGTAAAGCTTAGTAAGCTTCTGACCCATGCCCCAGCCATTGGGACACTCCCTCAATGACATGTGGTCCAGTGCTCCTCTTCTAGGAGCTGGGGCAGGGAGGAGGGAGGAGCACATGCAGCTTGAGTTTCACAGGAAGCTTCTCGACCTCTGTGCACCAGCCTCATCTGTACAAGGAGACCACAATGCTGTGTACAGCCAGCACCTGGCACGTCCGTCCTCTCTCTGCCATTGCCGGCCCCCTTCCTTACTTCCACGACTCCCTGCCCCGGCCTCGCTTGCTGCTATTGCCGTGGCACACAGGAACCAGACTGAAGGAGGCTGCAGGGCCAAGAGGGAAGAGGCTACACTGGGCAGAAAAGCCCTGTCTGTGCTGGGAAGGGGACAAGGGGTGGACATCTGACCAAGCTTCTGCATGGGGGATAGGATCTACTTTTTATATTGTTGTATATGTCCCATGAGGCCCACTCATGGGAACTTGCTCAGCCTTGGTTCTCAGTGAAAATAAGAAGGAGTCAAGAATGGTTTGAGGACTTTTGAAAACAGATATAAACTGCAAATTTCCTACAAATGACTGTAACATGAGGAGTTTGCATTCAGATGAGGGTCACGAGACTATTTTAGCATTTGGTGCCAAGAAAAACTTGCTTCTGTGACAGGATTCAGCAGGCAGAAAGCACCCTGAAAACCTTGGAGCACATACAACCTGGAGCCAAGACCAACTGGTTATATAATGGGTAAGTCAAGGGCTCCTGCCTTGCAAGACCAAAGATGGAATTAACAGTTTCCAGAGAGGCTGTCTTCCCATCGGGGGTAAATACAACAACAATTTAAAGATGGAGACATATACTGTTCCATGAGTGGTGACTTAACTCTAACCGAGCTGAACGCTACTCATCCAGTGAATTTAGTTACAGAGCTATTTGTTTTGTGCTCTTGACAAATGTTAATTTAAGACCTTCCTGTGAGGCATTTCTATAACCATCTTGGTAGCACTCAAGGACAAAAACCAGAAGTTGAGAAGCAGGATACTTTTTTTAAGCCTCTAAATAGGAGTAAGACAGTCAGTCCTGAGAGATTCTCCAGAAAGGACATGGACACTGCTCAGGCTGCTCTAACAAAACATCACAAACTGGGTAGCTTGAAAAACAGACATTTATTTCTCACAGTTCTGGAGGCTGGAGTCCAAGATCAAGGTGCTGGCCAAGCCAGTTCTAGAGAGAGCTCTCTCCCTGGCTTGTGGACGGCCGCCTTCTCACTGTCCTCACATGGCAGAGACACAGCAAGCTAGCTCTGGTCTCTTCTTATGAAGGGAACGAGTCCCATCGTGAGCACCCCTCCCGCAGGACCTCATCTAAGCCCAATCACCCTAAATGCCCTACCTCCTGATACCATCACACTGCAGGTTACAGCTTCAACATATGAACTGTGGTGGGGCACAAACATTCAGTCCATAACAGGTCCTCATGCTGAGGGGCTGTCCCGTGGTGACGGGTGGTGCCTGATTGCTGACAAGCATCTACAAAACGCAATTAATTCTGCAACATGGGAAACACAACTGACAATGACAACGACAAGCTTCAGTCAGTCTTCACATAAGGACGCATGAGAGCTCAGATGACTGCTTTCCGCTCTTCAGCTTCATGGGCAGAGGGTCAGTTGCCATCGCCACCACCACGCAGAGGGAGACTGCGGCTGAGGTTACAGCTTACTCTGTCCGAAAATGTTTACTGAGTCCTTAATGCAAGATATCAAAGCCAACAACACAAATGAATCCCTGTCCTCAGGAAGTTCACGCCTGAGGAATAAAGATGCCTGGGCCACCAGGTGCAGATCAGACCCTGATGTCACCAGAGGCGACTAGAACAGAGGTTCTTCTGCCTTCTCCCTGGCGTTCTATTTAGTGGACTCCCTGGCCTCAAGAACAGTTCTACCATGGCCCTATCAATCTAGTAACTTCACTCAGCAGTTCACTGTTTCGTTACCATTAAGATAACTAAAAGGCATCGGTCTCTTTGGGACAGGTTTAGCAGGGCACCTGCAGCCCAGCAGCTAAGCGAGTCTCAAGCCTTGCTCACCGGACCGTGGCCCTTGTGACAGCTGCTCTTCCGTTTTCTCTCCCTGTTAACTACTAGTGGCCGATTTTCACTCTGAATGTCAACATTTGGTGTCCAAGGGACAAAACTTCTTAAAATGCAGCATTATTGAATAGATGTTTGCGCTATTCGCCTCTCAGGAGAGCTCACCGGTGATTATCTTGTTCTTGGCAGACAGACTGGTGTCATTTCACTCACTCAGATACCATGGAAAACTAACATTTCTTGTATTTGGATGTGTCCTTCAGGGCAGACGTCATTTTTAGCTTTGTCTACGTGTCACTGCTCTCAACGAAAGTTCTGCCTTTCAAGGCTGACATAATCATAAATCAGTCTCTTCTCTCACGCCCCAACCAAGTTCCTCAAAAGGGTCTTTTTTCTCCCTTTCCACAAATAGTATTTTTTCTTTCTGCAGCACGACCTAGTCAGAGCGTGTGCACGCCACTCCTGTCAGCCCTGAGCCCCACGGTCTGGCCCTGTCACTGTGTTTAGCCCTGGACAGCTGCTCTCCTGATGTCTGCTCTTGACGAGGCCACGGCAGGAGGAATGGGCAGGTCACAGCCCGATTCTGGTTCCAGTTTCTGAAACACTCAGTTAGCAAAGTAACTTCAGTCCCAGCACCAGAGAAAGTCACCAGGCACTGCAGGTTAAGGTCTGGAAGATGGGTAGTAAATGGTGGGGATGACCAGTCAGACTAAGGGCATCTCTGCAGACAAACAAGGTGCCTATTCCTGTGGGACATAGTAATCTTTCCGCAGAATCCAACACCTTCAGTTGAAACCTAGGTTGTTCCTTGGGTATTCTGAAACAGGGCAAAACCAGGACAGCTCTATGACTATTTGCAGACTTAACTACAGTTGTCCTGATGAGTAAATGAATTAATCTGACCCTGAGGGGCCACAATCCACACCCTCGGTTCATTGTTGTACTGCTGACTCTCCTGTAGGCACTGCTCTGATGGCCTTGGTCCCGGGCACGAAAGATGAAAACCTGGCCCACAGAAGACATTCACCACTAAGCCCCTTCAGGAAGCCTTTACTAACAACAAAGCTTTGTGACCGCAGGAGCAGCAAACGCTGATGGCTTCCTATGGGCTGCGCGTGTCCTCCGAGCACCTTACATGTAACATTTCATCTTCACCATAACAGAATGAGGATGCTACTGCCCATCAGCACTTTATGGAGGAGAAAACCGAGGTGTTGAGTGGTTAGTAAATTCCCAAGGTGTCACTGCAGGACAGCGAAGGAGCAGAGCCCAAGTGCAGGTGGCCTGGCTTGAGACAGTGCTCATGGAGAGCCTCTGGCACTGGCCTAGTAGCCTTGGAACAGGACAGAAGGCGGGGCTGCCGGTGACCTTTGGCAAGTCACGCCCACTCTGGGTTCTGGCTTCCACATCTAAAACAGGGCAGGATCCAGCTAGGTAATCTCTTACTGCCCTTTCAAATATACTCTGTCGACATGCTCGATTCTTTAAGGATTTGATTCTATGTTAATTTTTAACCACAAAAGAAAGATTAGGAGAGAATGTACCAAAAATATACCAAAAAGGTAACCCTGGCTGTCTCTGAATGGTGGGGTAATAGGTATTATTTTTGTTTTTACTTTTTTTAAACATTCCAGTTTTCTCTACAATGAGTATTTGTTGAATAAATGAAGGGACAAATTTTACCCTAACAGAGTTAATAAACACAGGGAAAG